CAGATGAAAAGAGATTTGACTTGGAGAGTATACGACTAGCCAGGAGACCAGCTGGATCCGAGTGCTAGTTCGACAGCAGTCAGGCCAGTAAACAGAGAGAGAGCGTTCATTGGCTGGGTCGGCCTTGGGGATTTTGGCCAGACAGATATATTGCGTCGGGATCGCGTGCAAGCTTGCCATTCGTCACCTCGCCAATAACCAGCTATGCGCCATCTGTAATTGGCTGTTCACAGACGCCGAAAACCACATCGGTGGGAATTTGGGAGAAAGCACTTCGACGCGAGCTAGTCACAACAAACGCAGTCCCACGGTCATCCGAGCGGACAAATTCTTTACCTTTATAGGTGAGTTTAAGGAACTTCCTTTTGTGTGTGAACCTCCTGTACTAGTACGCAAACCCTAGGAGGCTACGAAGAATTCTTCTGTTCGTAAAGAAGATTAAGGTCGCCAGTGGTACTTATATCGCCAGCGGCGATAAGCTGTCTTTTTGCATTCGTTTAAGTGGATGACTGAACTGTTCGAGAGTATAGTCAACGACCCTTCTGACAGTAATTGTCCTTTGAATATATGAAATAATGTACGCATTCATCGGCTGAATGGGTATTCCAGGGTCCATAGTCAGTACGTCTCAATTCAGTATAGCCTTGACGTCACGAAACGTCTTTCTTTATTCAAGAAGTTATTTGAGGGGTTCTAGTTAAAATTCGCGAAGCCCGAATAAACGCTTTCTTATCAGATTGACCGTTAAATAAATTTATCTTTGAAAGATGCTGAATGCTAGCGGTAAGTCGGCGAACAACATTTTCAATTCATATCAAGACAAAATTTCGTTTGAGAGAAGCGTCCCGAAAATAAATCATTATTGTACGCGTCGCGCAATCACCGAGGTTTTGTATTCCAACGCCTTTTCCTTATTCTTTTTATGGGACCTCAAATGTCTCTTATCAACAACGCAGCGATTAAAACGCAGATAGAACAAGTACGTTTTATTATTGCTGATCTACGGAGTAGCAAGATTTTATGAAGATCCATGGATTGACTAAAGGTGCTTGAAAACGGGCCCGAAAGAACAAGGAGCTCATTTTCTATCGTACACGTTCGACGTTCGCGAATATCGAACCTCTAGCTATTGAATTATTTTACAAGTTGGCCGAACTGCGATGCATTTACCACTTTCTTTTCTCCTTTGTCCACCTGGCTCCGACTACAAGATACTTTAAAGACCATCGAAGGTTGGCTCAGAGGCATTAGCTCACAACTCTGAACAGACCGTTCATACATGCCACAAACAGTATTTGGGACATAGGACCTCACAAGAATTCCTCCAATCGCATCTGCATGGAATTAACATAAGTCCACATAAAAAACAATGTATAATGTCTTACTCCTAATGTCGAGAATAATTAGATTATAATCTCAGTTGACAATCTTCGAAGCCACTATTGTTAGCGCGTCTTTGCGAATAAACTGGGGTTCAGTCCAGTGCGGTTTTAGTAAAGAAAAGATGGATAAATATATTTGACCACCTTATAAGATAAGAAAATGGCACTAACGCCCACGCACATATAAAAGCACTGAAAAAGACTGCGTAAATATATGCATTAACCTATTTTTGTCCAATGACCGAAAAAAAAAACTAAAAAAACAACTTCTGCTTAATTATTGTAAGTAGTGCACTCGCAGCTATGCAAGTTGCATGCATGCTTCCAACGAGCACCTCTCACGTGTGTGAAAAGTATTTTCTTCAGTTTTTCTTCCATGTAGCTACTCCGTTGCATGCGTTATCCGAACCTACAGCTATCAAGATGTGCTAAATGTCGGTAGTCTAGCTGTTTAAGCGCTTCAGAAACGTCGAATATTCCGCCTCTATTTAGGTCCAAGATACCGCGCAAACGTGTGTGCTTCCTAAACCATCTCTCTTTGTCTTCCAAATACTCCCCAAGCTATAAAAATGTGATGTATTTTGAATAGTTTATGAAATGCCTAACCGCAAGCCGGTATGAAGAATACGTTGCTTTCCTCTGAAAAATGGTTGATCTCCTATCTTCCTGGCGTTTCTTTCAATTTCATCCCCTTGAAAGCACATTTTCATGACTCTCATGGTTTTTTTAAAACAAACGCCATGCAAAATAAATACATAAAACAGAATGACGGCCGGAGTGGCCATTTC